TTAATTAAATACAGAGTGAATCCAACAAACAGTACAGGGATACCATTTAATTAGATTCAGAGTGAATCCAACAAACAGTACAGGGATACCATCTAATTAGATACAGAGTGAATCCATCAAACAGTACAGGAATACCATTTAATTAGATACAGAGTGAACAGTACAGGGATACCATTTAATTAGATACAGAGTGAATACATCAAACAGTACAGGGATGCCATTTAATTAAATAAAAAGTGAAGCCATCAAACAGTACAGGGATACCATTTAATTAGATACAGAGTGAAGCCATCAAACAGTACATGGATACCATTTAATTAGATACAGAGTGAATACATCAAGAAGTACAGGGATACCATTTAATTAGATACAAAGTGAAGACATCAAACAGTACAAGGATACCATTTAATTAGATACAGAGTGAATACATCAAACAGTACATTGATACCATTTAATTTGATACAGAGTGAATCCATCAAACAGTACAGGGATACCATTTAATTAGATTCAGAGTGAATACATCAAACAGTACAGAGATACCATTAGATACAGAGTGAAGACATCAAGCATTACAAGGATACCATTTAATTAGATACAGATTGAAGTTGTTGTCTTTGGAAAGAAAAAATAAATTAACCGAACGGAAACCCTTTTCACAAACTCAAATTTTTAAATACCTACATCTTTTCAACCTGATTGTGTAAACCTTTTATATTTCAAACCAAGTGGTCTTTTTAGAATTACAATTTGTAATGTGTGTTTATTCCCTTTGCAGTTGGCATGTTCAGTATAATTTTTTTTGTTATCCGCTTTTTTTACGAAACAAATGTACCGAACTCACAGGGGCGTACGAGGGCTTTTGTTTAGGGGGGGCACAATTTGGGTCCCCCCCCCCTTGGGAACATTGTGCCCCCCCCTTAAAAGCCCCTTTTTTTGACAAAGTATTGATACTTCTTAAACAATTTTGCCCCCATCCCACCTGGACTTGTTTTGTTCACCATAAAAATACACCAAAAAGACTACATTTTTGGGTGTTACTAACCTTAGAGTCTAATAATTATTCCATTGCTTCAAAAACTAACTTTTTGACTTTATAAATTGATCACTTAACTCCATCACAGCTAACTAAATCAATAATCACATCATCATTAAAAATTATATTTTTAGTAATAGACGAAATTTCTTCTGAAATTTTTAGATAGAATTTATTTACTCAATCTCATATTCACCAACTCTTATAAGCTAAAATTTTCTGGAATTTGCTTGCACAAACATTTCAATGATTTTTTCAGTAGAGAGCTCAGACAGCCTTAAAGGGTGTAACGCTATAAGTGCAAGATCGTTAAGTCTGCTCTCCGTCATAGTACATCTTGTGTAATGAAGTATTCTCTTTAGAAGGCTAAAACTTAAGGACTACTGCCCCCCCTAGGTACGCCACTGTGCCTGGCCTGAGAAAGGGAAATGCAAGCAAAGCGTAGAGGGCGCGGCCCCCCCTCGTACGCCACTGCGAACCCACTTCTTTAACAGACAACACTCCCTTATTGTACTTCGACGATACTTATGACAGATGAAAATGTACCCCAACCCTTTTCGTGTACCAGCACGGCCTCTATTGGCAGATAAATTGTACCCTACGTACTACTTGTACTGGCGTGTTCACTAAAGCCAGATTAAATTGTACTGAACCAACTGTTCCGTGTACCATGCCCAGCATGAATCGTTTCTTCCAGTTTGTTTTATCTGATTTAAGAGTTATTTTGAAATAAAGTGGCACTTGGAGATTAAATCTCCCAGTATTTTTAGACCAGCAATAAACTAAGTTTTAGTGGATTGATTTAATTCAACAATTTTATTCTATACATAGACATTTAAATAGTAGGGACACGTATACAGGGGTTTATCTAGAATTTATCTGGGGGGGAAATTGTAAACTCAGTAAAATTATCCACAATACAGTCGTCCTATATGTCAAAACAATGAAGACTACTTTCGGTTTAAATTTTTCTTTTCTACAAGCAAAAGGCTTGTTAGAAATCAAAACTTGAAAATTAAAAGTCGTCTTCATTGTAATGATATAAACGCCAACCATTGTACGGCATGCCACACATATTTTTAAGTTCATAAAATCTGTTATAGATATTATCAAGTCCATAAAATCTGCTTGAAATAGTATGCAGTCCATAAAATCTACTAGAAATAGTATCAAGTCCATAAAATCTGCTTGAAATAGTATGTAGTCCATAAAATCTACTAGAAATAGTATCAAGTCCATGAAATCAGCTAGAAATAGTATCAAGTCCATGAAATCTGCCAGAAATACTAGAAATAGTATCAAGTCCATGAAATCTGCTAGAAATAGTATCCAGTCCATCAAATCTATTAGAAATCTTTCCTCAACCGGCCACAAAATCTCTGCAATAAAATCCATGTATTTTTCACAAAATACTTTTATCATTCTCAGTTTATTTATCTAGGTCTGAATCTGGACTATTAGAACTAGTTCAGCTCCGTACCCTGGGTTGGAGTAAACTTGAGCTGGTGAACGGAACCCTGCGGTACACCCTCGGAGATACATCTCTACAGCTCATCACTCCTAGGTAAATATGACATAAAAATAATTATGAAAATGAAGAAAACTTTTGAAAATAGTTTTTCAAAATAACTTAAAAGTTTAAAAATGCATTTTTATATATTTTTCTTTCTAGTTCGCCATCTATCTATCTATCTATCTATCTATCTATCTATCTATCTATCAATCTATCTATCTATCTATCTATCTATCTATCTATTTATCTATCTATCTATCTATCTATCTATCTATCTATCTTATCTATCTATCTATCTATCTATCTATTTATCCATCTATCTCTCTCTAGGTTGAATGATGGTGAATGGCACCATGTGTCTGTAAAGTGGATGATGGGTGAGGTCTGGCTAAATCTAGATTACGGTCAACATGAGCTCACCAAGCCAACTAATATTGCTATACAGGTATTATTTACATAGTTCACGTCAAACTAAAGTTAATTGCAATTTGCACGTACGATGGAATTTTTTTCGTAAACTAGGGTTAATCTAGTCTTGGCATTTCCAAAATGTGGTCTGCCTTTTTGTGCTCTCAATATTACCGGAGATATGAACAATGTTGGTTGTATTTAAGAAAATTGAAATCTGAACGAAATTCTCAATATATTATCTTTGATTATATTGACAGTACAAAAAGGACGGACCAGGAACTAGGAGAATTTTGTGGTTATTGTTACAGGAACCAAACATGTTGCAAAGCCGTTCTAGTAATTTTGCATGATTTATGGCTGATCGAATCAGATTTTTAATAAAAATTTTTTTTTCAGGGTTTGACTGTTGTGAAAGTTTTTGTTGGAGGATCTGAGCCGAATATTGATGGTTCAACTAGTACACAACCATTCACTGGATGTATTCAGGTGACAATAATGATTCACGAAAACTAAATTTTTGGCAATTTTCAAGTCAGAATATTTGTTAATAAGAGTCTGATTTGATTTGATAGTGTTAAAAGAAAAGAATTAATCAATGAAAATCTGTGTGCGTGTTTTAGTCGATTTTTTTCAAAACCAAAATATGTTCAATTTTGATGTACATTATTAAGAATAATTAAAACATGTTTTTAATGAAAGGTCTCTACCAATTGCTTGCATCTACATAAAAACATTAAAGTTAACAATTGTTTTATCATCTAGCCCTTCTATCTCCAAGTGGTAAGAAGTTGGGGTTCAAATTGTCCTAAGGTATTTACAGTCAATGACTTGTTTGATCTGGGATTTGATATTCGTTGAAATAGTTTTGCCGGAATTTCAAACACGTGCCGTCGAATTTAAACTTTTTTGTTTTGAAATTAGTAAACAGTCCCTTTAGTCTGTATGTATAGAGGAGAACAGAGTCTCTTTAGCCTGTATGTATAGAGGAGGACAGAGTCTCTTTAGCCTGTCTGTATAGAGGAGAATAGAGTCTCTTTAGTCTGTATGTATAGAGGAGGACAGAGTCCCTTTAGTCTGTATGTATAGAGGAGAACAGAGTCTCTTTAGCCTGTATGTATAGAGGAGAAAACTGCAATTGATAATTTCTATGGGGATTTATCTGCCCTCACATCTTCTAATTTCTTTCTCATTGTTTTTCTTTTCTTTTCAACTTTTTACCGATGTTCTTTGTCTGGTCGGCCGCTATTTTTTGGTCGGGGGGTCAATCCAGGAAATTATTAATGATTTGTTTATCTTTTGATCTGACAGTTGATTTTAATTATCCCGCGTTTTTTAGTTCCGCCATCTTTCTTTTAATCTCAACCTCACTCAGCTTTTTTCTTTGACGTAGTTTTACAGACGTTCTCTCTCTTTATACGGGTAATTTCCTCCCCTGATAATATCATGGTTTGATAGGATACCTTAAACTCCGACTTAATGCCTTAACACTGCAATTAGAAAGTTCGAATAGGGGACAATGTAAACGCAATGAAGAACACCATTGTATGGGTTTTAACATATTACAATAAAAAAGAGATAGTCCTACTTAATATTTTCAAATTGCCTTCAACAAATTAATTTGATAATCTGTGGCCATACTCGTCTTTGAACTTTGAAAATATTTGCGGCATTTATTCGTCAACCTACCAGAGATATTAAGAATTCAGTTCAGATTTCAATTTATCGATTAAAACCAAAACTGTCAAATTCTGAATAAAATTTTTCAAATCTCCGGTAATATTTAAAATATAAATGGCAGACCACATTTTGTAAATTAGGAATATTTTGTGATTAGTAACTCTAGAATTAAACCTAAAAAATTAGGTTTACGAATAAATGCCTTAAATTAGTACAAAGATCAAAGACAACCTTTAAGTGGTCTTGCTGCTGGTCATGATTTGTGGGACAGCATGTATTTATTAGAGATTGGGATTTTTGTAAAACTAACTTAATTTATTTTTAGAATGTTCGGATTGGTGACGGTGATGGAGCTGATCTAAGTCCTACCCAGGAGAGTAGTGTAGAGTCTGGTTGCTCTAGTCCGGACACCTGTACCTCCGATACATGTCCAGCCACCTCACAGTGCTCCCTTGGCTGGGACTCTCACCATTGTAACTGCAACCCCGGACATATTGGAGATAAATGTTTTGATGTCTGCAAACTGTCCCCATGTCATAACAACAGTACTTGTGTCAAGAACACGGTTGACCCGCGTGGGTATAGCTGTAGCTGTGGGTCACCTTTACTACATGGGGCCTACTGTGAAGAGAAAGTCCAGCAACCCTGTCCCGCAAAATGGTGGGGCTACCCTGTCTGTGGACCGTGTAAATGTGATGTCAACAATGGATTCAACCCGGATTGTGATAAGAAGACTGGAGAATGTCGGTGTAAAGATTATCACTATCAGCCAAAGAATACAGATAAATGTTTACCCTGTAAATGTTTCCCACTGGGATCAACAGGCCAGCTCTGCGATCCTATCTCGGGCCAGTGTCAATGCAAACCAGGGGTCATCGGACAATTATGTGATTCCTGCGCGCACAAATATGCCGAGGTGACAGAGCATGGATGCCAAGTGGTTTATGAATCCTGTCCTAAGGCATATGAGTCTGAGGTTTGGTGGCCAAGGACAAGGTTTGGAGAGGAGGTTAAGGTTGAATGTCCGGTGGGAGCAGAGGGATTTGCCACACGGCGCTGCTCCTCAGAGCATGGTTGGGATGAACCAGATCTATTTAATTGTACTCATAAACAGATTCTTCCTCTGTTCAAGGACCTGGCACAGCTAGAGACTGGAGAGATACAAATTAATTCTTACCTTGCACTTAAAACTGTCAAGAATCTTTATGATTTGACCAATTCTATTGATGAGCTGTACGGAGCTGATGTCCTGCTCTTTAGTCGCTTACTGGTTGAGATCCTTGAGTTTGAAAACAAGCAGAGTGGGTTTAATCTCTCTCACAAACAAGAAAGAGATTTTATCAAACAAATTGTCAGTATTGCTTCAAGAATTTTAAAAGATGAAAACGAGGTTTCTCTGAACAAAGGCAATACATTGGACCGGAATCTATTTTCAAGAATTCTTAATCTCTTCAAGAAATACGGACAGACACTGACAGAAAACCTTTCAGATACGTACACCAACCCATTTGAAATTATTACTGATAATGTGATGTTTGGTCTAGATATCATAGATAACCCCCGAGAGGGTAATCCACAATCCCGTATCCTACCAGAGCTTCCCAGATCCTCTAGTCTCATATCCCAGGAACCTAGATTAAGCTCAGACTATATCAGTATACCCAAGTATAATCACTACATGAGAGACCCCAGAGTTTGGGACAATACAAAGATCTACATACCCCGGAGTTTACTCTTTGTAGATGGTGAAGATAGTCCTGATACTAAACCGACAGTGAGCTATGCAATCTATCGTACCCTGTCAAACTTCCTGCCTGATCAATACCTTCCAGATTTAGTTGCTAGATGGGGAAGTATCTTCAAACCTCTCTCCTCAGTGGTTGCGCTTACTCTTCAAACTGATACAGAACTTACTGAGTCGGTTGAGTTGACTATGCCAATCAGCCTTATCTTTAGCGTTAAGCTCTCTCAGGAGTTTACACGTGCAACTCCTTTCTGCGCTAGGTGGGATGTTAGCATCAAGGAATCTCAAGGATGGACAAAGGATGCCTGTGAGACGGATTTACCTGATTTATGGCAGTTTAATAAAGCATCTGAGATCACAGTAAATTGCACATGCTATAAGATATCAAGCTATGTTGTTCTGAGTGAATCAGCAGCAGAGGGATTGGTAGTTGCTAATCCTCTTCCTTCTGAGAATATTGTTCTATATGCAACTATTGCATCACTGATTATTCTCTTGATTTGCGGAGTTTGTTTCTCCTCACTATACGGGCTTCCAACCAATTCAAACTCTATTCATAGATTCATAGTGCTCAGTCTCTTCCTTGCACAGATTCTTTTCATCATAGAAGCTAAATTTCATCATATTATAGTGAAGGTTGATGTTGGATGTAAGATCATGGCCATCCTTCTCCACTACTTCTGGTTGAGTGTGTTCTCCTGGCTGTTGGTTGATGCCCTCCACCTACAGAGGATGCTTACTGAGATGCGAGATATAAATCATGGAAACATGAAGTTCTACATCTCTATGGGCTTTGGAATACCAGCAATAATTGTTGGATTGAGTGTTGGAGTTAGATCTCATCAGTATGGAAACCTTCATTTCTGTTGGTTGTCCTTGTATGATATTAGTGTATGGAGCATGGTTGGTCCTCTCTGTATCTCACTCTTTGTACAGATATGCATTCTCTTCCTAGCTATTCGTGCGGCCTTCACTCTTAAATCTCAGATCGAAGATTTCGGAAACCTCAGGGGACTTCTCCTGCTCAATATAGGTTTGCTACCACTGGCAACAGGCACCTGGACTTCAGCTTTCTTCCTGGTTAATGAGGACTGGCCAGAACTTTCCATAGCAAATTCTGTAGCAACCCTGCTCACCTCAGCTTACATCTTCCTGGGGTATATTGTCTTCAACTCTAGAGTAAGAACCGGGATTAAGAACAGATATCTAGTTTGTCTTGGACGCAAACTTCCATACGGAGAAAGCTTGAATGCTTCTCATGGAACAATCTCCAGGTCTGCTCTGGCATACAGAAACTCAGTGAAATCCTCCAACAGAAATATTGGAATATCAACTGCGTCTACCACTTCCAGATCAACCAGTAAAACCAACTCAACTCCTTACAGAAGTGATTATTACTCGTCTAGCGATGTATCTAAGATCTATGGTTCACACAAGTCCGGAGAAAAGTTAGAAAATAAATACAGGAAAGAATCAGATTCTGAGAGTGATGCTGATCAACGCTCCCTTGACCTTGCATCCAGTCATAGCAGTGATGAGGACGATCCTTTGGAACCCGTCACATCCTCAGATAACACCCGGGGTACCATTTATAGTACAGACACTAATCGTGGTAACCTCTACAGTACGGACACTACCCGTGGTAATGTCTACAGTACAGACTATAATATGTCTGTCCCACCCCTTCACATAAATACTTCCAGCGGTAGTGCTGGTCTTCAAGTGAACGACCAGCCAATATCCGCTCAAAACACTCTCCAACGACAACATTTGTCCCGTGATCTAAGACTTCCAAACCGTTGGTCCGAACGGTTATCGGCCGTTACAACTAGTGATAATGATAACACAACAGACACTATAAATCTAGGATATAATTACAACTACGGATACCCACAGCCTCAAAGCCCTGACTCCGAGCTGAGTAGTGAGGATAAATATGTGGCAATGTCCCCACCCCACCTTATGCAATACCAAGCATATTCTACCTCAACTACCAGCCAGAACTATTCTACTAGTGATCCTTCATCCAGTATGCAACCTAGTGATATCAGTCCAGAGTCTCAAAATTTATCATCATACCAGTCCTGATAAATTAAACCTAGTAAATTACCAATTCTAATTAAACCTTGTAAACTACCAATCCTAATGAATTAAACCTAGTAAATTACCAATTCTAATTAAACCTAGAAACCATCAATCCTAATAAAGTAAACCTAGTAAACTACCAATCCTGAAAATAAAACCTATTAAACTACCAATCTTGATAAATTAAACCTTGAAAACTACGAATCCAATTTTATATAAAATTCTAAGACACGAAACCTTTTCACATATCAATCCTATAATGAATCAAACCTATAATTCGCATATCAACCTTAAAGAACTAAACTTATTATCATATCAACCTCAACGATTTAAACCTATATCATAATAAAAAAAAAACTGTGAACTAAACGTATGCATATATTTCTTATGATTATTTGAGCCAAGTAAATCAACAAATATAACATTTTTTAGATATCCCTCTAATCTCTATAAGATGCATATCAATGTGACTTAAAAAAGTATACACACATCAATTATTTTGTGTTTGGTTTTAAAAACCCGATCTGTCACTGTCTACCCATTTTGGTAATTTTACCGACAAGTGTGTAAAATAGTTGAATTGTAATGTATAGTGGTGATTCAAGTAGTGATCATATTTTTTTATATAAAATTTACTACTTTTAAATGATGGTGATTACTTAGTAAAAAAAATCAAAGAAGACTGACATTTGTTTCTGCAAGACAAATTTCTATGAAAAATAATCAAACTAGTTAAATTTATTAAAAGTTTGTCTTATTTTGGTCTCATTTACCGAATCTCGATGTTAAAACCCCGATTTGTTTGTTGGTATGACTTGTTACTTTGCTTAGTTAATTGATTTAATAAATATTAAATGTTTTATTTATTTAATTGGAAAACAAGAAGAGAAAAAAGTTTTTAAAACGATGATATCGATCCTGACTTTTAGACTTAAGTTATGATTTTAAATACACCCCGTCCAACGAAAAATGACAGAAGCAAGATGACTTGAAAGTCTTCTTTGATCTTGGCAATTGTGACATTCAGTCGTCAAACTGAATTAATATGTATGATTCTTGAAACAAAAACCACAAAATTCTCCTAGTCTGTGGCATTTACAAAATGTGGTCTGCTTTTTTGGGTTGTCAATATTACCGAAAATATTATGAATTTCGTTCAGATTTCAATTTTGTACCGGTTTTTATTGGTTATTATATCGTTAGAACTGACGAGGGTCAACCCAGACCGAAATATTTTTCAATAAATGTGGAACTAACAACTACTTTTTTACTCTAGAGAGGTTTGGTTCATCACCATCACCGAATTTTAAATTTAAAAAAAATTTGGCGAAATTTGAACAAAATTCTTCATATCTCGGGTAATATTGAATGTACAATATTTTTACAATAACTTTTTTATTATCTCAAGAATTTTACTTAAGTTAGGCAGTAAATTTCAAAATTCAAAGACGACATTCAAGTCGTCTTGCTACTGTAATGTTTATAAGTTTGGTTACAAGTTTTTACAACATGCAGTGAAACTCTAAATAAATTTTGTTAAATAAAACCATGAAAATGTCCTATCCTGATCGTTCCAGTAATTATTAAAGCACATAACTGGCAGACCACATTTTGGAACTAGCAGTACCAGATCTATTTATTTGTCACTCTTGATGCTCATATTTATAGGGAGTAGTTTGGAACTTGGCACACGTACTGGACTTACAATTATCTCGTCTAGGAAAATACGCAGTTCTAAATATGATAATGTAAAAGATAGATACAAATTGAAATGTCGTCTTCCATATGGTTTTAGACGAAATACATTTAAATAAGTTAAAAAATATCTAAACAGGCAAGGGCGGATACAGTGGGGGGGCGGGGGACATTCACCCCCCCCTGAATTTGGATTTTTTTGTTCCTATTTTCAGAATAGCTTCTCAATAGCATGCTTAAGGGAAAGAAACCCTAGTGCAAAACAGGAAAAATATCTGTCTTAATAAACTATAATGTGTGAAAAGTCAAAAATCTAGTTTTTTAGTCTTTAGTCATTAATTTTGACTCTTTTTGAGTCTTTTAAGTCAAAAAAAGTTTCGTCTAAGGCGCGAGTTTTTGTTCCTAATTATGAATTTTTTTGTTCCTAAAAAATCTTGCCCCCCGCTCACTCAAATCCTGTATCTATTTCAGGATTTCTGAATCATAATTTAAATTCACAAGGCAAAAACAAGGAAAAGCGGTGAAAAGTACAAGATTATTTTTCTAAAATAGAACAGAACAATTTAGCAAATTACTGTAGTTTTTTATTGAAGTTTTTTTATTGTTTGTATAAATCTGTAGCTAAACAAATCAGATTAAGTCGCGCTATACAGTGACACCTGCAGATATATGAATACATAAGAAGAGTTTTTTTTTATAATGTCGTATTCATTATTTAAGATCAAATGCGGCGGAAAAACGAGTATAATAAATCAATTGCTGTCAATCATATTTCAGGGAGCTATTAATTTACCTTGAATTCCAAACAAAAATAAGTTTCTTAAGAATTATCAAAAAACTTATGACTGCAATAATATTTGGATATATTTTCACAAATCCTGGTCCCACCTTTGAAGCTGCGAACATCTTAAGGATAGATTTTGTCCTCCACTTGAACAAAGTTTTTTTAATGGCTTTATAAATGATTTGGCAATGAAAGAAGCAAGCTTGATTAAGCTCTCATGGAAAAATCGATGAGAATTTTGCCAATAACTTGTTAAATGCTATAGCAAAAAACAAATTCTGTACAGTTTTAAAATGTACAAGTTCAGGGCTAAACAAAAGCTTCAAGAAGTTAGAGCTATAAAATCAAAGCTTTGCATCACTTTAAAGTCGATCCTGTCTTGAAACTTGATGCAATATTTCATAACAGGCTGAATCTAGGTGTAAATATAAATTCCGTATAGTTGTCTCTGAAGTCTTATCCTTTGTGGATAACTCTTCCATCTGCAATGGTTTCAAAAGGACTTCAATGATTTAATCACATATGTTCACATGTTGTTCATTAATTTTGAACCAATCAATCAATCAATAAATCAATCAATCAATCAAGCAATCATTCAATCAATCAATCAATCAATCAATCATCAATCAATCATCAATCAATCAATCAATCATCAATCAATCAATTAATCAATCAATCAATTAAAAAGGAAAACACAAGATTGATAAAATTATCTCCACAACCAATTTCAAGTGACCCTCATGCAAAGATGGCAATGCTTGATTCACATTGTTAAAAAGTGTAAAATTCTGATTATTCCTTTATTTTCCTGCATTAGAAATGCGTAAATCACTTTTGAAGAGAAACCACAATTGAAAACAACCAGTTTGCAAAATTATAAACATGGATTTCTCTTATTATACAGTTAAACCCTAAATAATAAATACATGGATTTCTCTTATTATACAGTTAAACCATAAATAATAAATACATGGATTTCTCTTATTATACAGTTAAACCATAAATAATAAATACATGGATTTATCTTACTACACAGGGATTTATCTTACTATACAGGGTGTCCCAAAAAAAGGTAGAAGACTGTAAAGATGTGTCTATAATGTTTCCGCAAGATGAAAAGTGAAGACGGACAAGTTTACTCTGTTTGTATACTGTAATTTTCTTGTTTTATTAAGTACACCCTTATGCAGTCAAAACATAAAACTTGTGAAACTTGTGAATCGGACATTGTAATCTCTTCATGGAGATTCACTTGAAATAACGCATACAGTCCTTTTAAGTGTACTGTTTGTACAATCTTAAAAAAAAGTAATTATCAGCCTCAAATTTATTGAATTTATTTTAGATAATGTTTCTACTAATATTAATGGACGGCAGTTGGCAGGTTGAATATTTAGAAACAGGAGACAGGGTTGAAATAGCATTGATGGAACCTAACTTCTTTTCCTCTCCTTGGTCTCGTTTGGATTTTCGGAACATTCTCTAAAAAAAAGATTAAAAACTTGAAATTTTCCTAGTCAATGAGAGAGTCTTCTGCTGTCATGTTTCGTGGGACACCTGTAGCTCTCATAACTGCCAAGATTTTAGAGATCTAACAGTTTAAATAAAAAACTAAAGTCAATTTTTAATCTTTAAAATGTAAAAGATTATATAAATTGATAAAAAACTATTTAAATTAAATTTTATTGCTTAGTGTTTTCAGCAGATTATAAAAATTGGAAAAAAAAACTATTTAAATCAAATTGTTGAGCAGTTTCTTCTTTGGACTTTTTTCCTAAAATTTAAATATTTTCTCCTTGTATGTTTTTGTTTTATTTTATAAATGAATAATTACTTTTTTACTTACTTACTTAAAAATAAATATTATTTTTGTTAACCTGTGTTTTGTGCCAAAAAGTATTAAACGGCCCAACAAAGAATTTGCAAAAGCAGACTTTGAAAATGTTGTAACTATGAAATATTTTTAAACTTTATTTATTAACCTTGATCGCTTCTTTTAAAATTGTTCGGTTCAGTATGCTCTCTGTTGTACTCCAATTTAGACAAGTACATATCGTACAAAATATCTAAGACCTGAAATTAGAAATGAATTATCATGCAAAGGCTTTAAAACAATTTTATTAAACTGAGAGTTATTCAGAAAAACTTAAGATCAAACCTGGTAATTACGGAGGTCGTCTTTAAACTCTCTTTCTTTAAGTGTACTCTCATAATGCATGTTTCTGTAGTGTCACATTTTTAATTTAATTTTATGACCTCCTGGACAATTCCCTTTCTTTTAAGAAGAATTTTCTGACCTCCTGGACAATTTCCTTTCTTTTAAGAAGAAGTACCACCACATTTGACTCTTCCGGGCAAAACTACTATAAAAACCAAAAGTAAATGTTCTAAAGGACTGATAGATGTAATTTCAAGTTACCTTAACCTAATAAAGGTCCTATCAACAACGGTACCATTTAAACATTTATCTGGGTAACAATGAGGAAGATATCGTCGTTATTTCAACTTAAAAAGTGATGAATTCTGTAAATTATGTTCATTGTCTTTCCACTAGATAGAAACGTCAGCATTTCTGGAGAAGACGACCTTTGTTACAATCTTTGAGTACCCCAGAAAATGCGTCAAAATTTGCGTAGATTTTCTGATGCGCTATCTTTAATTAGCAATTAAAGTCTTTGGTTATTCGTAAATTTTGAATAATAAGCAAAATAGTTGTATGAAAATCACTCACAATGTAAACTCGTGATTATTTACATATTTGATTCCGAATTTTTGATTGAAATATTAAATAAATCGGAATATTTCTATCCAATTGGATTCGATTTGATAAAAAAAATTATTCAAAATGTAGATAAAATTTATTCAATATAAAGGTTGTGATCCCGCGACTAGAAAATATGTTTACCTGCAGGATTAGTAGAGGATACTGTCAACCCTACCAACATTATCCCAACCAGATAATGAGAAATCATAATTCTGAAATATACCATATTCTCATCAGAAGTTTAAAGTAAGATACCAAAATTCAGACTTGCAAGTAAAACAAGCCAATTGCCATGTTAAAGACCAAACCAGATCTTGAGTTTCAGACTGTAAACCCACTGAAGGCAAAGGTCTCTAACATAGAACTGGGCATGTTCTAATTTATTTTAAATCGTTCCGTTTCGTTCTGGAATAAGGGCCTTCAGCTAGATCGTTCTATACTCATTCTTTTTTTTCAAAAATTCTGTTCTAGTCCTGTTCCGTCCTGCTCCGTTCTGTTCTTAGTCTATAAGAACGATCATCCCATTCCATTTTGTTCTTGATGTTCTTAGCCAAGAACGTTTCCATCCCCCTGTTCCGTTCTTAGTCAAGAAGATTGAATGGGGGGGGGGGTACTTTAGAGGGGTCCAAGACAAAAGTTTCGTAGAAAAGAGGCTGTTTTAAATTTTGGGTTAAAAGGATAGACTTAGATAATTTGTGGGCCGAGCAATGTATATTTGTTGTGAAGCAGGGGGAGGGACGGGGTTATTAAAATCTTTAAAATGTATAATGCGTGAAAGGGCTACGATCCGTATTTTTCTTAAAAAAGGGAGGTGCACAATTTGTAAATTTTTAAAAAATAATTAATTTGCATAGTCAATATTTCAATAAAATTATAAAGATATATAAATAAGTTTTAGAAAACAATTTCTTTCGACCTAAATCTCTCCTTATTTACGGCAGATGGAGGACCAGGAAGGGGAGTTGGTTTTAGAGGGGGGTCTTTTAATGTTTGTTAGATGATTTAGAACACATTCCTGATTTGAAATATGTTCCTGACTTATAGCGCTTTCTTGATAATAAGAACACATGTTCTTTTTAGGCTAATCTGTTCCGTTTCGTTCCATTTCGTTTCGTTTCGTTCCGTTCCAATATTTTAAAGAACTGTTTTCAGAATGATGGGATTGTTCTTAATAGTTTCATTTGTTCTTGTGAAAGAACCATCATTCTTCAAGAACGACAGCCAGCCCTACACTCTAACAATAAGGCTCAACTTAAAAGAAAGTAAAACGGAAAAAATCGGTATCTACACATCTTGTAACCTTCACACAATGGTTGTAATCTTAATTGATCGAAAATTTCGATCAGGGTATTTCCATGCAAAATAAATACCCCAGTTTTTCAATTCAGAGTATCCTTTCAGAGTATACAATTAANTTAGACAAACCAAAACTTCACCAAAATATAGGTTAAACTTAACATATGATTATATGATAGAGGTGTAAACTGAAAAAGGTAGACCTAAATTGGACTGTACATAAGGGACTAGAGTAGAACAAAAATGACTTCACAGGACTCTAGAGTCAAATGACTAAAAGAAACAAAGGTTACTACTTTTTTCCATGGTGAGATTTTTTTTGAAAAAAAGGTTTTTGGTGGATGTAAAAGCCAAATAATTGTTCTTGGAGATAAGAATGGTTGACGTGGAGTCAGAGTTGCGGAGGCTTTGGAGATGTAGCGTAAGGCACGGAGATGATTTTGATTGGCTCTGAGTCATTCTGCGAATCAGGAGACACTGGAGGTCAGTTCACGGGGCTCAAGGTTTCTCTGCACCCCCTCCCTCCACTACTATGTATGCACTACGGGGAATTAATTGGAAAATAAGAACTATAAGAACTACAGAGTAATAAAGAGAGATTAGTAAGATAAGCTTGTTTGATTGCATAAAAGACAAGGAGTATGGAATAGAAGGGAGATACAACTGATGCAGCCCGCCCCACCATATAATACATGCTTCATTCCGTACTTCATTTGAATAAGAAATATTTGTCTGATGTACAATTACCGCGTATACAATAACCTATTCTGAATATTTCTTATATAAATGGAATACCCGTCCGCAAAGCATGCATAATCATATGGAAGGCGGGCCGCGTCAGTTGTATCTCCCTTCTATTCCATACTCCTTGATAAAAGGATTTTAAGCCTCTACTCTTCTTATCACTTATTAATCATTTGCTGTGATCTTGTGCGTAAAAATATAGAAAATAAAATACTTTTTTTAAAGTAAATTTATACAGTGATAACCAGAAAACTCTGGAATAGGAGGACGACTTTAAATAGTCCAATGAGCTTGGGAAAACGGGATTCAGTTTTACCACCCGATGAGGCTCTACATGAGAACCAAAAAAATCCAGAACAGGAAGACGACTTTTAGACTCAAGTTATGACTTTACCTAGTCAGAAAAAAGCATTAGACATGTATGTAATTATTCAATGTAAACATTAATTACTCAGAGTAAGTGATTTGATAAGTCTACACTAAAACCATTTTCTTTGTAACAACATCAAATACAATTAAGCAATTTTGTTTGTATGTCGTCTTCCTATTCCACAGTTTTCCGGTTCTCGCTGTATTTTAATGTGTAAATACAGTAAAAAAAAGTTAAGAGAGATAAACGGCAATATTTTAGCATTTATCATTTAAAAATGATCCAACTTTGAATCTCGCACATTCTGGTCGTATTTTCGAACTAAATGTTCGTTGAAGTTCGATATTTCGAATAAAGCTTTTCTAACAATGCACGTTGACCACGATGAGCCATAGGGTTGCAAGCTGTAACGCAAAAATCAATTGCCAATTATCTCTTAAAAATTAAACTAAAATTAATTTGCTATTTATAGTTCTTAATCTAATGTGTATACGAAAAAGAATAATTATGAGTTGTTGAGTTTAAAACAAAGGCCAAGTTAAAGTGAAACCAGTCTTGACAAAGGCTGGAACTCTGTGTGATGAAGGAAAGAGAGACGACAAGTGCTCTGTTTCACTAGTAGTCTCCTTTTATATATCTCGTTCCAATGGTGTATCTTCCGCACTACGCACATCTGGTATACTCCACTTATGACCTACGCTACAAATCCGCTATACTACACATGGTTTTTAATTGCTGCTAGCCTGTCCTAGCCGTAGTGCTGGAACCAGAAATTGTCTGAACCTCACCTAACCCTGAAATCATACAAAATAATCAGTTGAATTGTATGTCCGACATTGAAGTATATCGGAAAGTTAGATGTTTGAAGTTCAGTAGGGGGGATATTGCGTATAGACGATGATGTAACATTTCCCTCGTTCCTTAATTAGAAAATTGATTAATTAATTAATTGCCTTGTTTTTATCAAATATTTACACTCAGCGGTAAAGAGAAGTTTCAGGGGGAGCACATGATAACATTTTGTTATAGCGGAAGACGATAATATAAATACAATGAAGACGACTTTGTAAAATTAAGTTTTGATTGTTAATAAGCAATTTTCGAACTACAAGTTTACAAGTAATCAAAGAGAAGCTTTTTAATGGAAATAGCTTCTCTGGACTTCTATGTTCAAGCGTATCCATGCTGTTTAACATTGAAATCAAAAGTCGTCTTCGTTGTATTGATATAATCGCCTACCACTGCATTAAAGTATGGTCAAGTATTTCAACAACAAAGTTTGACATCAGAAACCCACTAAAATCTATATAATGGGAGTGACCGGCAATGTATGGTAGTTAACTAAGAATGTAGTATGGAGAAAGTTTTAGGAATCATTTGAGACCTATCAGACGTTTTTACGGTCATATTTGCTCAGCAAGAGCGCAAATTCAATCTTTTAATCCCACATAGATTGTTCACTTTTGACAGATAATTTTGAGAATCTGGTTAAAAAACTATTCAATTACGACGACGAAAAATGTAGTACAAACTTTTACAACAAACTAGTTGGTTGGTTGGTTGAAACTCAATATAATATAAATAAATAATTTGTTCTAAAATTGATTAATTAAGAAGAAAATTTTCGTCGAGAAAATGTTCCCAAAATCTAATTAGTTTACGATTAAATTTTTACATTTCTTTTTCGTCGTTTTTTAATAATTTTTAAAAAATCGATTCTCAAAAGTAACCACCCAAATGGATGATTTTGAACGTCGACTTTGCACTCAAGCTCATTAATTATACATCATTTACCCTGATTCTGCTGGGGGGGGNAAGGTTGGTACAAAGTTAATAATTTAGTTTCTTGAATATAATTTTTTTCTAATCCAAGTATGAATTAGATGTTTATAATTTTGGAAAATGATTATTTTAAATTGTTCTTTTAAAATTTTTGTTTTTGTTGTATATTGTACAAAAAGAAGATGCTCAGTGCTCACAAATAGAGCCAAAATTATAGTTGATAGAAGATGGTCGCAAAGTGCTCTACAATAACAAGCCTGGTATACTGTACAAGCCTGGTATACTGTACAAGCCTGGTATACTGTACAAGCCTGGTATACTGTACAAGCCTGGTATACTGTTCAATGCCTGGTATACTGTACAAGCCTGGTATATTGTACAAGCCTGGTATACTGTACAAGCCTGGTATACTGTAATACAAGCCTGGTATACTGTAATACAAGCCTGGTATACTGTAAAGAGCTTCGCGCCCCAGTCTAGCAAAGAATTTTAGTTTTTGCCACAAACTTGAATTTTCAAAAACCTAGATCTTATGGCGCACAGTTTTGATATTTAAAACTTAGAATATTTGATCTAAAATAATTCATAGTTTGGAAAATCAAAGGTAGACGACACTGAGTTGCAAATATAAAGGATTTCTAAAATCAGAGTTGGTAGCAGAAACTCTATTCCTTTTGCTTTTTTAGATATTTTTTGGTGATTTTTCTATTGTTTTAGAATACAAGATGATAAAACCCTCCCCTGTCTTTTTCTGCATACAGGGGTCATTTTTATCAATTGCAGTGAATGAAAAAATTAATTTGGCCGTAGACCAATTTACTGCTATGCTATGATTCAGCGGTGTTTAATGATCATGATTCAGCTGTGTTTAATGCTAATGATTCAGCTGTATTTAATGATCATGATTCAGCTGTGTTTAATGCTAATGATTCAGCTTGTGTTTAATGCTAATGATTCAGCTGTGTTTAATGCTAATGATTCAGCTGTGTTTAATGATCATGATTCAGCGGTGTTTAATGATCATGATTCAGCTGTGTTTAATGCTAATGATTCAGCTGTGTTTAATGCTAATGATTCAGCTGTGTTTAATGCTAATGATTCAGCGGTGTTTAATGATAACGATTCTTTAAATGATGAAGAAGAAAACACAAGAACTAGAAAAGATCTTTTTAATGACAATTCCACATCCCTTGACTCGAGTATATATATATATATATATACTATACATAAACATTATTGGATTTGTTCTTTCTCTCGAGTATATACTCGAGTATATATATATATATATACTATACATGACTTTCATTTATCAACGATGAGATATTTAGCAGATGATGAGCAGTTTCTGAAGTATTGTGTTGTAGTCTTAATGAAACTATACGAACGGTCAATTATCATGGACGTTTTAATTCCGTTATCTTAACTTTTCCAAAATTATTTTTGATTTCATTTCCCAAACTCAGTTATTTATTTCTTATGTTTGAATTTTTGTTTCCGATTCTTAGTTTCCATTTATGATAATTCGAACATTACTTTATTAACTATATTGAATACAAATTATCATATTTGAATAAATTATTGAATAAATTGAAGAAAACGACTACATTTTAATACCTGCAATATCGGTGATGCGCGCCGGCTATAAATGATCAAAGCACAAAAAATGTTCTAGCCCATTGCTATGAGAAGTTTAAAGTTCTATTTAGGTTTTCTAAAATCCGTAAAATAAGCCGTTTTGACGTTTATTGGATACAAAAAAAAGTTGCAGTCAATATAAGTATATATTATGAATATTACCTATTGTGATGGGACAAAACTTTGTATTTTAAACACTTTTATCGAGAGTCTGTCACACATATAAAACCATTACTTATTAAAAGTTAGAAATGTTTTGAATTTTTAATTTGTAAATAGATAAATTTACTGTCCTCATACTTGTGCATATAGTCAAAACTAGAGGAGCTACGAGGTCAAAAAGTCGTACTAGTCTAGTTTAGAGTGTAGTTTCTTTGATTTTATTTTGATCCCATTTTTGTCTTTAGTTTGACAATCTTTAAACTTAGATATATATTTGTCTTTTTCAATTTGTTCATTTTAAACACATTCGCAGACAAAAAAAGTATGAGAAAGCAAAAAGCAAAATGGATGTTTAATTGATTAAATCTTAGGATCAAAAGTGACAGCTGACGGAGACAAGAACAGTGCATAGATTAATTAAATTACCCCCTCAATCTTGAGAAGGCGACATCTAGTGTCCTATCTGTTATTCTAATTAATCTATGGCTCAAGGGATTTTCAAATTTTTCTATACGCTGTGAAACAAGTATGCCATATTGCCCTGGAATTCTGTTACTAACCCTATTATCAAATTATCCAAGCAGCAATATAAGTATATAAAAGTATATAAAAGTATATAAAAGTATATAACAGTATAAAAAAGGTATATAAAAGTTTATAAAAGTATATGATAGTATATAAAAGTATATAAAAGTATATAAACAGTTTGTTTCGAATCTTCATGACAGAAACAATCTCAAGGAATAATAATTGTCTTGAACAGTTTTTAAAAGTAAATATTTGTAAATTATCTTTTTTCCATCTCATAATCTGAGTTCGTTTCCCTTTTGTCCATTTGACAGCCCAAATTTNGGATATATTTTTAGAAATCTAACAACTGTATAATTTAAAATACAGTTTCTAAGAGGATATTTTTTTAGAAATCTAACAATTGTATTATATCGTTAGAACTGACGAGGGTCAACCCAGACCGAAATATATTTTCAATAGATGTGGAACTAACATCTACTTTTTTTACTCTACAGAGGTTTGGTCCATCACCATCTCCGAATTTTAAATAAAAGTATGGTTTCCAACGCAAGTGGATTTTACTTGCGTGCAATTACGGGCCCTGTAATTCAGTGCAACGGAGTTCATATTAGAAACCCTAAATAAAAGGTGTGCTTTAACTTTCAATACTGGGTCAACTTTGAAGTGTCGCAATGCATTGGTCTTTAGTTTTACCTTACGACTAACAAAGTTTTACATTTCGTAGCCCTAGAAATTTACTTTTTAAAACTACAGCAAGGTTGTATTTTATTTCACCTTAAACTGCTAATTGTTGCGTGAGAGCGTGCACGTTTTGTATCACGTGTTTTGTATCACGTGTTTTGTATCACGTGTTTTGTATCACGTGTTTTACAACCAAAAAGATAAGATTTTCATCAAAACAAGGGAATATTTATTATTTACCATGTTGTATTCTTCTTCATAGGTTATTGATTATTCATCTTTTTCATTCATTTTACATTATACATCATTCATTAACCCATTCTACATCATTCATTATTCATTATTTATCATTCATTATTCATTATACATCATTCATTAACCCATCCTACATCCTTCATTCTTCATTATTTATCATTCATTATTCATTATACATCATTCATTAATCCATCCTACAGCATTCATTCTTCATTATTTATCATTCATTATTCATAATCCATCATTCATTTACCCATCCCACATCATTCATTTACCCATCACACATCATTCATTTTTCATTATTTATCATTCATTATTCATAATACATCATTCATTAACCCATCCTACATCATTCGTTTTTCATTACACAACATTCATTAACCTAACACACATCATTCATTATTCATTATACAACATTCATTATTCATAATACATCATTCATTAACCGGCAAGGGAATGTTACCTTTCAAGGACTAAAATACAAAAACATGTAAACCCAAGCAAAAGCTTAAACAAATAAGGAAAAGAATTAGATAAATTAACAAACTGCGTTAAATAAAAATATTGGCCCCAGAGCAAAACCTTCCCCTGTTCCATGCTACTTTCTGTAATGCGCCTTTTTGCCAATGCTTGCATATTCGTACATTCTTCAGTAAAACAGCAAATGTCTTGGCGGGCGTCTTGGTGTATTCTGAGCGGGCAAAACTATAGAGAACATCGGGTTCTAAAGATTTCAAGAATTAGAAAATATGATTTTGTTACAAGAACTTGGTGTTTTTATCATTTATTTCAATATAAAATTGTTCAAATAAAACATATTTTAATCTGTTCTTTATCTTCTAGAAACCTTGACGTGGAATGCAGATGGTATTCTTGTGAACCCTAAAACAAATATTATCTGAACTTTTTTTGTTAAATCATGGTTTGACGTTTTTTTTGTGAAATATTTTTATGTATGAACATTTTCGTTGCAGAATAGAAGAACAGTTTTTCTTGAAAAGTTATAATGCGATGTTGATAAAACAATTCTTTTCACTAATTTTGAGGTGCCTTCTTAATCCAGTTTATTCTTAGGACCACTGCAAGGTTATTATTCAAAGAAAGTTAATTGCAGTTGCATATACTCTGCGTACATGTTGAAACCAGTTCTCTCTGGGCGGAATTTGTAAACAAGAATATAGATGCATCAGTGTTTGTTTAATATCCGTGGAGGGAAAAAGCATTTAATTTTGATAATTTTGATAATTCACATAATAGTTTCCTTTGGCCAGAATATTTCATTGATTTTTTATGTGAAAGATCGATTCCATGCCAGGCAGTGACATCCGACTTGTGTTTACATTACCGCCCAGAGACAGTACACTACAGTACAAAAGATGCGTACACCTCTGAAATAACTTTCCTTGCATTATAACCTTGGGACCACTGTAATTATGCTGTATACTCACCTGCAGTATAATGGTTTACATCAGGTTCAAATCCAGGGATACTTTCAAACTAGAGATATTCACAAAATAAAAATATTAAAAATTCTTAAAATTTTAACGCAAAAGTGGAAATTTTTTATCATATTTTAATATTAATGTTTTAATATTCAGCTCACTTTTAATTAAAACACACAATTTCTTCGATCAGAGTATTGCAAATTACTTCCGCACACGTCGAAACCTTAGTTGAGGATGAGATATTCCATTTTGCACAATTCTGTTTTGCCAATGCCTTATCATGTTTGCGTTCCTCATTGATTGTCAAATTTCAGATTAATAATCTTCTATTTCTACGTCGTTCCTACACTCAATGTGATGTTTTACAAAAGAAACCATCTTTTTAACATTAAAATCATGAAATTTAAAATCATGTTCAGAATATTTTGTTAAATGTTCCTTAAGGTGTTGAATAAGTGTTACAGTGAACACAATCAGTTCTGATTTTGCCAGTGATTCTCCCATACAAACCCTTTTTCCTAAATACAGTCAGACCCATTAAACTGTAGAATATGAAAACTACATTTAAAAACTACTTGGATACTGTATTTCCACCATTTCCACTCTGTAAATACAGACGGCCTCGTATGTATTTCTGATTTAAAATGCCTGTTTAACTTTCTTAAGGGATAAATTATCTATATTATAAAGCTCGTCTATAAATATTTAATTATTTATATATATGCATATGTTAGCTATAGCTGGTCAAATGGCTGGACCGAATGGACATTTTATTGAGAAAACCGCGTGGATACCCTGGGTGCAACATAGGCTAAACCGCGTGGATACCCTGGGTGCAACATAGGCTAAACCGCGTGGATACCCTGGGTGCAACATAGGCTAAACCGCGTGGATACCCTGGATCTTCTTATTCCACAGTTTTATGAGTCTCACTGTATACTCCTCACCGTGTCCGAAAGGAACAAAATATTCTGGTTTTGTAAATTCTCCAGCTTTGTTTAGAAACCTAAAGTAAGAAAATAACTTCATTTTCATAAAATTGATGTTCATTATGTTCAAGTGACCAGAAACAGCATTGTCATTGGTAGAAATTCTGGTCACGTGGTACAGACGGTGTCACATGTCCAGATACTGCACTGTCATTGGTGGAAATTCTGGTCAAATGATACAAACGAAACAAGATTAAATCCAATCAAATCTATTAAAAATTATTATGTTTTGTATTTGAATAATAATAGGAGCATGCCTACAATTTTTAGACACCTCTTCTGGGTAATCATAATTTTCAGATTCGTTCCGTATTTGCTGAATAAGATCTAATTAAGCTTTGATTCAAATACCATATCATATATATTAGAGTTTTTTCAAATTTTTTTATCAATTTCACGAGACAGGGACATCAGATATTATTGGTCACGATCAACTCCTAAAATTTCTAGGCTTTAGCCTACACCCCCTTTTCATTTTAATGATAATTTATAAAAAAATATTTTTCAATATAATTTTACAAATACCTGGAAGGATTGAATTGTAGAGGTTCAACCCATAGATCAGGATTCGTCATGAATAGTTTTAAATTTGACAATAATAGACAATCTTTAGGCAGAACATATCCCTCTACTTCTACCTAGCAAACAGACAAAGGGTGTCCCACGAAACATGAGATTTTTGAATGTCTTCTTCCATATATTGCATTAGACATTATAGACTTTTTTGCATTTTATTTACTAAAATATGTTTTACTTTGAAATCAATTTTACTATGGCTGGCATAAAAATTTTCATATTATTTTCTTGAGGTTCAAACAACTTAACAAATTATGGAAGAAGACATTTTTAAATTTTCACCAACTGTCATGTTTCTTGGGACACCCTGTATATTAAAGGGACTGTATAAGCATAGTTTCAAGTGACCTTTCATGCAAAGATGACACTTTTCGACTTACAACGGTATCCTTGAAACCTTAATCTGATCTGATCACTTTAGCAGAGAAACCACAAGTGAAAATACACAGTTTAAAGAAACTAAAATATGGATATCTAACTCAAACTTGACTATACAATGATTTTAAATCGGGAATTGCCATCTTTGCAGGATGTGGGGTCACTGGAAACTCATTAGTCATTCAGAACTTTTAAAAACATAAATATTCTATTTGTAAAATTTATTCAATAAATAAATTACTGTATTTTCTTATTTCTTAAAAAGTGTTTTTTTTTGACTTTTTGATATTTTCAAATATGTTTTTTTATTTAATTTTCATATTTTGATGCAATATTTCTTTGGAGTTTATTACCCTGGTGGACGCACACATCTAAATGATGTAAACGCACTAAACCTACACAACCTGTTGTGTTGTGGTGTGTTGAACAGATGCAACAGCTACAGCTGACAGCCGCTGTACCTCTGCTATGACAGCTTGACAGTAGTTTAAGCTTTCAGTGTCCTCAAGACGGACATCTTAGTTTAGACTGTTATCAAATTACACAGTAAATACCACCGATGGGAACCAAATTTTTTGTGGGACCTCACATGATCTCAGAGAAAATTTATGGATGATCAGAACTTAACAAATTTTCCTGCAAACACTTTAGATTTTCATAAAAATACAAAGAAAATGTTATTAATTCTGAGAACTTTTGTTGATATTGTTTTATAATGTATATATACAAAAAGAAAATGTTCAAAGATAGAGAAACAATTAAACGTTGAAATAGAAGATGGGCGCGAAGCGCCCTGGTAGCCTATTACAGTAAAATTTTTTAAATTTTTTTTTTTACCAAGATTTTTGTAATTTTTAACTATGGATGGGTATCGTTTTACAAAATGGTCGAAAAAACGTTAGTTTTTCTTTTGTTTTGGAATTTTAGTTATGAACGAATGTTCGTGTTTATAAAAGTCGATTGGTTTAAAATTAAGAAGTTTATATTGCTTTATTTCTATTTTACCGTTAATGAAACGATTTGTAAATTAATTTGTCTTAAATTGGTTCTTATGGATAAGTTATGCAAATGATAAATTTAAACATCATTAAACTCATTTCTCAATTAAAAGAATAGACTAATAGTATGGTATTAAAAGAGTAAATATAGGCATAAATAGGTCTGTGCGGGAAGGGGTCTATAATATATAATGTGGAGAAAAAAGAAAGAATAGAAAATTCGAGTTTTCTTTTTGGTTTATGGAATTAAGTCATTGCCACAAACTCCGGTTTTGTAATCCCTTTATCTCTACAAACCAATGTTGTAGACCTTAGATATTTCAAACTATGAATTCTGATGGATCAAATAATTAAAGTTTGAAATATCAAAGGTTTACGCCATCTAGTTTAAGAGATAAAGGATTAGAGAATTTTGATTTGTGGCAGAGTTAAGTTAAAATACCCCCACCACCCCATACCACTGCGATCCTGTGGAACATGTTATGTTATAACAAGAAAATGCACGGGAACTAAAAGGTGAACGAAAAGTGGAAGAGTGGGATGAATAGTCGGCGTCAGAGTTTTTGATGCTACAAACTCAATCTTTCTAATCCTTATATATTTGCAAACGGATAGTGTTAACCTTTTATATTTGATACATTTGCTATTTGATCCAACAGAATTCATAGTTTGAAATTACAAAGGTCTAGGAAATTGGGTTGTACAGTTATAATAATTTAAAATATCAGAGTTTGTGGCAAAACCTCAAATCCTTTCAGCAATATGTGGAAAATCTTTTTAAAATTTTTTTAATAGTCTCTTCCCTGATTCTTTGATCTTCTCCTGGATCTCCTTGTAACAAGCTTCTTGTACTTCAGGGTACAATACCATGTACTCAACTGTAAGAAAGTAAAATTACGCGAAATCAATATTTTTTCTTGTCAGGCCAGGCGAAGCTTTATTAGCGTATAAAATCTGTCGAATATTGATCTGTAAAAGAGGCAAACAACTTTAATCTAAAAAACATTCTAAGATCAAGAGAACCTTCTGCCCGCAAAAATGTTTTTTAAAGAAAATATGAAATTAAAGAGGGGTTTTCAAATATATTTTGCAGTAAGGGTATTGGTTACAGAGAAAACAATTTCTTACCATCAAGGTGTCATTGAACAGCTCTATATTTTGTAATTTTAATAAAAACAGTTTGAATTTAGACATAGCCAATCCAACACATACTAAGACTGTTAAGATTGCTTTTTACCTGTTTTAAATAATTGTAATAATCTTTCTAGTGTGAATATTAGTAATAGTAAATGCTGTCTACCTTTCTATTGTAGAAATGTTGTCTACCTATCTATTGTAGAAATGTTGTCTACCTATCTCACTCCTGTTTGTCGATTCCATTAGCGCCTGATCCAATCAGGGTTCAGCCATGTGTTTGTTGTCTATTCTGAACCAATAGAAATAGTATGGCGGTAACGTCTATCTTTCTATCTATCTCATTATCCAAGTAGAGTTATGAATCCTTCAATCGGCGCTATCAGTAAATGGAAATATTTACTTCTACTGAAATTATAGTGATCTATTGAATGAATGTTGTACCTATCTATTGTAGAAATGTTGTCTACCTATCTATTGTAGAAATGTTGTTTACCTATCTATCGTAGAAATGTTGTCTACCTATCCATTGTAAAGTAGTTGAAGTAGTTTCTGATCCTGCCGCCATAAGATCAAGACAAGTCATCACCAGCTGGTCAACACTGATCATATTTCATTTATTTAAGGGACTGTAAACGTAATTTTAAGTAACAATCTATTCATTTAGGGGTATTCCCGATTTACAACGGTACCCTTCAAAGGGAGTGTACCGGCAATGTATGGTAGTTGAATTGAGAATGTAGTATTGTTGAGAAATTTTTTAGGATTCATAAAACGTTTTAATGATGTATACTTACAGAGTTTGAGCGCAAAGTTGACGTTCAAAAACAGCCAGTTTGGTTACGTTTGAAGAATCGTTTTTTTTTAATTTATCAAAAAACGACGACAAAAAAGTAAAAAAAAATTCTAAGTCAAACTAATTAATTTTTTAGGAACATATTTCTCAACAGAAATTTTCTCAATAAATTAATGTCAGAATCAATTATTTCTTTTCATCATTATATTTGTTCACAGATTTCTTAAACTTCTTCAAATATCGTTCTTTTAACAAAAATTAAACAAAATCTACAGAAAATGTTTGTTAACAATGAGACATTACAGAAACCAATAACTAAATAAAATTACTAAGTTTCAATGATAATAGTTAATTTTTATTTTTTCAATCTGTTCCTAAACAACTAATTAGTTTACTGTCGAATTTTTACTACATGTTTCGTCATCATTATTGAATAATTTTTTAAAAACCGATTCATAAAATCATCCCTCAAAAATTAACAAACGATGATGATTTTAAAGATTGAATTTGCGCTCTCGCTAAACAAATATGCACCGTAAAAACGTCTCATAGGTCTTAAATGATTCCAAAAAAGTTCTCCACAATTTTACATTCTCAGTTCAACTACCATGCATTGCCGGTCACTCCCTTTAAATCTTTGTCTAAGCAAAAATTATGTAAAAATACTCGTTTTACTATTTGAACATTGATAATTTTTAAGTGTGGGTTCTCCATAACTTATCAAGCAAAAACAAAGAACGTTATTTAAACAATTCTACACATTAAGGATTCAAAAGAAGATATCTTTTACATGGTTGCTCAGATAAAAATATAAAGGGTACCTTTGAACAGAATTAAGCGTTTCTTGAAATTTTATCTACATTCCCTTTAAAGAAAAATAAAAAATAAAATTCTAAGAGGTAGAAAATCTCATTCATAATGTAATTTTCAGTCCTCATATTTGTTAAACCTATTGTCGTGGAAGTTAGATGAAATAAACTACGAAATGTGCTTGATCAAATTGTCATAGTTAAACAAAAGTGTTTAAACCTGAATTCTGGATCTTTCTGAGAATTTATTTCTATGAGGAAAGCATCAATCATATCCCTAAACAAAATTTAAAAATGTTACAATGGTTTACGCCCATTTCAATTCATTGAAGACGACTTTTATATTTAAGCTTCAATTTCTAACAAGGTTTTTTCAAATTACAAGTTTAGAGGTAAGCAATGCTAGGAAGCTGTTAAATCGCAGCTTCTCTTTGTTACCATTTTTATGTGTATCCATGCTGTTTAAAAGCTTGATAAACATTTATTGTATTGATGTTTACGACGACGACATTAATTTAATTTTTTCTTGTTCTACCTAGGATCATTTTCATCCAAAGTTTCATGATGTGCTTTGATAATTCGTTTCAACATAGCCTAAAATATCAAATATCATTTTCCAATCTTTATATTTTCATTTATAATTAGGATTTAATAACTTAAAACATGTTTTTACTTGAATAGATTTCAATGTATTCACTCTTCTATTGTATCCAGTTAAATTCGGAAACACAAATCTAAACAATTAAAAAGTTTTTTAAAGTTTAGGTAAAAAATATAAAACAAGAATTTTATTTGTTACAGATTCAAAAAGTGGAATTTGTTAGCATGCCTTTTTGTGTTCTGTCGCAAAACTAACAATTTTTTAATCTTGTACATACTGTTTGGTTGGCTTAATGTAAAAATTTTAATCCTTAGAAAATATGTAAATGCTTGAAAACCCAGCTTTTCCGGAAAACTTTTTATAAAATACAACCTAATACACTTGGAATTGTTTAACCAAGCTCAGAACACTCTTGTGGTTTCACTGAGTTTCTATCAAAATTTGAGGCAAATCGGTCAAGAAGGTTTATGAGTTATGTAAGGACTTACAAACAGACAAACAAAAAAGCAGAGATTACAACTTTATCTTTAAAACAAAGCCCTTCGCTTAAATGTATATATGTTAGCTGGACAAAATTAACTGAATTTTGTTGAGGGAGCCCAGAGTATCATAGACTTGAAAAAATGATTTTTTTTCTTCTAAATTTGAATTTTTCTTTCAAGTGTTTTTAACTTTCGATGGACAACGCCGGGCACTTCAGCTAGTATTTTAATTGTTACAAACCTAATCCAAGGAAGCATCATTGACATCATGAAAACTTTAGAAGAGAAGAGAAAATTTAGTCCATTAAGTAGTTCTACCATTTCAACATTGTCTCTAAATATTAGTATTAAAGGAATTATTCTAAAGAGTAAAAAAATAATAATTACCTCTAGCCCTGACATTTTCAAAATGTAGTCTGCCTTTTTTTGCCTTTAATGTTACCGGATATACGTTAAGATTTTGGTTTAGATTTTAATAGTTTTGGTTTGATTGAATAAATTTAAATCTGAACTAAATTAAAAAACTATAAATCTCTTGTTATTATATTACCTATCAAGTGAAATTCCAGTCATCATACTCCACAGGACATTGAGTACAGGTACAGCAAAAATTGTACTATTAATCTCTACTCTATCTCCTTTACTCTCTAGATACTAAACATTGTACTGTTAATCTCTACTCTATCTCCTTTACTCTCTAGATACTAAACATTGTACTGTTAATCTCTACTCTATCTCCTTTACTCTCTAGATACTAAACACTGTAAGGTTAATCTCCACTCTACTTTACTCTCTAGATACTAAACACTGTACTTTTTATCTCCACTCTAACACTGTACTGTTACTCACCACTCTACTTTACTCTCTAGATATCAAACATTGAAATTCACACTACTTTACTCTCTAGATACTGAAAAATGTACTGCTAATCTCCAAACTAATTTAATCTCTAGATACTAAACACTGTTCTATTAATCACCAATTTACTTTACTCTATAGATTCTAAATACTGAACTTTTCATCTCCACTCTAATTTCCTCTGTAGATACTAAACACTGTACTATTAGTCTCTACTCTATCTACTTTATTATCTAGATACTAAACACTGTACTATTAATCTCTACTCTATCTACTTTATTCTCTAGATACTAAACACTGTACTATTAATCTCTACTCTATNCCATCTCCGTCTGTTGTAACAATCCCTTGAATGATGCTATCCCATCTCTATATGTTGTAATAATCCCTTGAATGAAGCTAACCTATCTCTATATGTTGTAATTGAATCCCTTGAATGAAGCTAACCTATCTCCGTCTGTTGCTACAATCCCTTGAATAAAGATAACCCATCTCCGTCTGTTGTAACAATCCCTTGAATGAAGCTAACCCATCTCCGTCTGTTGTAACTTTCCCTTGAATGAAGCTAACCCATCTCCGTCTGTTGTAACAATCCCTTGAATGATGCTAACCCATCTCCGTCTGTTGTAACAATCCCTTAAATGAAGCTAACCTATCTTCGTCTGTTGCAACAATCTCTTGAATGAAGCTAACCTATCTCTATATGTTGTAATTGAATCCCTTGAATGAAGCTAACCCATCTCCGTCTGTTGTAACAATCCCTTGAATGAAGCTAACTCATCTTCGTCTGTTGCAACAATCCCTTGAATGAAGCTAACCTATCTCCATTTTATAATCCCTTGAATGAAGCTAACCTATCTCCTTCTGTTGTAACGATCCCTAGGTTTTTACCACCCATAGATCTGGCCCATTCTGTTGTGTAGTTTCTGAACAAAATTTAAAACAATATTAATTATTCAGTTGGAAATTTTTAAGTATTGAATGTCAAGTTTCAATGCATTTTTTAAACGAGTTTTGTTCTTAAAACTTTCGTTTGAACCAAAAATGAGAAAGATATCCCAATTTTTCTGTCTGAAAATTTCCAAGTGTTGTTTCTCTCCTCATATGATGTGCAGATCTTTGCAGGAAAGACAATATAGGAAATTTTACGAATTTAACATTTTTGTAGTTTTTAACCAGGCATCCAACTCGCTCTAAAAATGTTGGATTTCTACTTTTCAGAAAATGAGTTTAAAGTCTTGAGTTTATATATGTAGCAATTTGGCAAGAGTGATGAAAAAATATATTTTTTTTGGGGGGCCAGAATTTCTTTTTGGAAATTCTCGGATTTTCTTAAATATTCAATTGTTCAGTGTTTTTGTCTCATAACTTACTTTACCCTTCCGCAGAATTCATCTTTGGCAAACAATCTTTTAGCAATCTTCCAGTCGTTGATGATTACCGCAGGAGTGGTCNAACGTAATTTTCAGTAACCCTTATTGATAGATGCTCAACTGCAGCCTCCAAAACGTTGTCTGATAAAGAATGAATTAGATCCAATAATCTCTGCAAATATCATTAACAACAGAGAACTATTCAGAATAAGACACTTTCCAAGTCAAAAAAATTATGTTATCTTCCAAATTATTGATCAGACTTAGGTTTCAAGGGTACCATTGTTAATCGGGCACCGTCCCCTTTTTTCCTATCGGAGGGTCAATTGAAATTACAACGATATTTGGTCCCTTAAACAAATATCAGATAATTTAATTTGTTACTCACTTAATGAGCCCCATTTCTTTATTGATTCCCCAATAAATTTCTCTATTCCAACTCCACTGAAATCAAAAGAAATTTTTGTAAGAAAAACTTTGATTGAGAATGATAAAATATTATCGCTAATATGCACAGAGATCCAAAGAACTATGTAAGTTAATTATGCATCAAATTTTAAGACTTCAAGTGACGCAACGACTTGGCCTCTAACGAAATTATATTTTTTTGTAGCCTGGGATATATTCATTTTAAAACTGCTGAGGAGCATGTTATAGTTTTACTTTTAAAGGAATGAATATTTTGGTTTACAGAATAGATTATACATTTTCAACAAAAAGTTTAGAATATTCAGCTAAAACGTGCAAAAGTAAATATTTAAAAGCATTTTTAACTTTGTTTGCCGGCAATAGCAAAATCCTGAATATTGCCAAGGCTCTGTTAAAGTTAAACAGAACTTTAACAATTTATTTAAAGGGACTGTAAACGTTAGTTAAAGTGACAATGAACAGATGACAATGCCCTTGAAACCTTGATCTAATCAATAATATGGAATAAATGATAGCTTTCTAATTTGGAAATCATTAAATTTGAATATTTCCAGTTTGTTTTCCTAGAGTTGAAATGCAAAAGAAACTTTTGCAGAGAACCCACAGTTGAATATAATCAGTTTTACTAAATTATAAACATAAATATCTAATTCATATTTGATCAGGATCAGAATCACATCGCGTACAGTCCCTTTTAGTTCATGAACAATTAAGAATTCTAAAAAATATATTTAAAAAAATTTAATTTCCTCAAGAATGGGTAGGATCCAATTAAAGGTATACTTGGAGGCCCCCTAGGAAATCTGGTATTTCTGAACCTGAAAAAACAGAAGACGACATTTCTGCAAACCGAACTATTTATAGTGTATATACTTTGCTTGTCTGGGTGTCTGTCCGTTTGTAGTCAATTAAGGTCAAAACGTCAGAACCGATTGGGTCCGAATTTCGTGTGGGACCTCACATGACTTCAGCGAAGGTTTATGGGACATCAAAATTTGAAAATATCCATGGGATAGTGGGATTTTTTTTAAATTCGCCAATTCTGAAAGGAAAATCCGCCAAAGTTTGAAAATGATTTTAAATGGCCGACTTTCAGAGCAACAGTTGAAATCTAAAATTATTTGCAGTTTTCTTAAAAAAGCATCACATGAAAAACGTCAAAAAATCAACTTTTAAGCCCTCAGGAATTTGTTCTACAAAAAAAAAATTTGATATATTTTGTATATTGATACAGTTAACATTAAAAATATCAAACGATTGAGTACAAAAGTTTCGATCAAAGTTATAAACAGTTAGTTCGACTTGGTAAGCTTACTGTATTTAGATTAGCCCTTGACAACTGAATGCAATAAAATGGGTCACATGTTAATATTTTCAAAAGTAACAGTAAATAGTTTTCAATATTTTTCCGACGTACTTATAAACCTGTTTTAAAACCACTCATAGCACCCTAACCATTCAAATTAGAGGTCTCATTTTTTCTAATAAGCTGGCTATGAAAAGTTGGACTAAGGATATGTATTACACTCCCCTATGTCAACTCCATGGGTAAAATCACATCTATATTAAACAAAAATAGCCCAATCGGGATATGGTTTAATATATTTACTAGATAATTTATAGGGAAGTTAAGGGAATTGGTCAAGGGAACCCGTGGAGTTAAAATTTTCAATATTCCGAAAAAGTATCGTCTGTTGAGATGAAAATGCGCGATTTGTTTTACAAAAACTTCGCAGAGAGGGTTGTTATTTTACTTAGTAGTCCCAAGGGACGTAAAGTAACTTAACGTCCCTCTGATGGGGAAATCTTAGGTCAGTTATGTTGGTAAAATGGGAGTAAAATATGTTAATATGCTTTATCGGTGTTTAATACCTTTTATTGTAAAGATGAGTTAAGGTAAATATCAACAAAACTATCAAAACAAATGTTGCATCCATTCTGAAAATATATTATTCAAAAACAATGTACATACACTTGTAGACAACAATTCTGTAATCTTGAAGCAAAAGTAGGGGTAAAAGAGAACAATGGGAATAATATTTTTCAAAAATTTAATGATTAATCTTTATTTGAAAGGAACTTAAGTCGTAATTTCAAGGACTCGCCTTTAAACCTTTTTCTGATCAAGGATGAATAAAACATTAAGGGTGTCACAATGAATAAGTGACAATTTTGATATCGTCTTTGTAAATGATTTTTTTTATTTAGTATGGTGATGTCTACTATAGGATTAAACTGCAATCATTAGATGTTTTGTCTGCTTTAAAAGTAAGAATGTGTTTGTTTATGTTATGATTGCATACTAGACTATTGTACTTTTAATTCCGGTTTACAAACAAAGCACAGTTGCTCTTATTCAACTGTTTATCTTGCAGAAATATTATAGACAAATCATTCTACGTTTTACAGAATAAAACAGAATAAAAAACCTTTTACAGTTTACATGAAACATATACTCTAGCAGACGTAACTCTAGTTGTATTATGACCATTGAAATTAGGTAATACAGCTAAGGACGGTATCCAATTGGAATTCCGTTGCGCGGAATTGCATGCAGCTAGCTGTTCTTGAATTGCCCAGAATTGAGCGGAATTGCGCGGAATAGCGCGGAATTGCACGGAATTGCGATGAATTGCGCGGAATTGTGATGAATTGCGCGGAATTGTGTGGAGTTTACATGGCTCGCAATTGTGCGCAAGTAAAATTCACTAGTGTTGAAACCCTAAATGCATCGCTGATTTTTAACAGAGACGATTTTACTCAACTCTCAAGTTTATTGAGACACCCTGTATTCTGTAGGATAATTCTAAATTGTGTGAGATAACTCAAAGTTAACTTTGTACTGAGGAAACTTCATCTTGATTCAATATACTAGAGATAAGGATTCAATTATACAGTGAGACTCAAAAAACTCTGGAATAGGAAGACGAAATTTAGACTCAAGTAATAACTTTAAATAGATCAATGATCATGAGACACGGCAATTATGTAGTGTAAACAGACCCATTTCACATAATAAGTGATTTAATAACCTGCTAATAAAGTGATTTGCTTCGTAACAACATCAATTGCAATATTGATTTAATGTCGTCTTTCTATTCTACAGTTTTCTGGTTCTTACTGTAGTTATCAATTTTTATTTAAAGTTTTCAAAAAACGATTAACAAGTTTATAAAAATCAATACTTTTCTGTTTTTGAGGTTTTGGCAACACCTAACCCATNGTAGAAGGAGGAAGGATAAAATATAAAGGGAGGAAGGATGATAGATAGAGGGAAGAAGGATGACAGGTAGAGGGAGGAAGGATGAAAGGTA